GGGGGGGTCCGAAAACCAGTCAGTATCTGGTGTGAGGGTTAGGGTTAGGGTAATGTTGTGAATCGAGTGGCCTGTGTTCATCGTCCATAACATACGCCTGCCCATACCATAACCCCACCAACACCATGGGCCACTCGATTCACAACATTACCCTAATCCTAACCCTAACCCTAATCCTAACCCTAACCCTAATCCTAACCCTCACACCAGATACTGACTGGTTTTCGGACCCCCCCAATAAAGCAAAAATACACGTTTCAGAGTGGCCTTTTATTGTGGCCAGCCTAAGGCACACCTGTGCAATAATCATGCTGTCTAATCAGCATCTTGATATGCCACACCTGTGAGGTGGGATGGATTATCTCGGCAAAGGAGAAGTGCTCACTATCAGAGATTTTTTCAGATTTGTGAACAATATTTGAGAGAAATGGTTATTTTGTGTATGTAGAAAATGTTTTAGATCTTTGAGTTCATCTGGTGAAAAATGGGAGCAAAAACAAAAGTGTTGCGTTTATATTTTTGTTCAGTGTAAGTAGCCAAATAACTTGCTAAATAGATCTTTGAAAGTGTGGTTGAATGTTGACGTTAGAGGGCTGTCACTCTTTAACCGTTTCAGCCCTGACCTTTCACATGACCTCTAATTGTTATGTTAGTGATAGGCCCCTTTACATAGCGTCCTTGTGGTCAATAAGAAAGTAAACGAAGAGAACTCTGCTTTTTAACTTCAATTCTTTTTTTCTTTCCTACTACTTTAAGGACCTTTTTAAGAGTTGAACATATTTTATGCGTCTGAAACACAACACAGCTGAGACTTAGGTTACGAAAATATGGAGAGAAAAAAAAAGGAATCTTTCAATCAGAGCTGAAGTTGTTGCCTTTGTTCGATTTTAGAGCAGTACTGTTGGGAACTCAAGCACATGCAATATCCTGGTACATTATGTAAGCCATCTCGCTTTACAAACTGAGCGTAATTCATCATCATCATCACCACCCCCTCTTCTCATGTAGGAACCATATGGAGTCTTTGCCTGAATGGCTCTGTGAAGCGAAGAAACTGGAAGTTCTGGACTTGAGCCACAACCTCATCACTGAGCTCCCGGCACGGTGAGTCTCTCCCTCTCAGAACATGAGTCTGTTAGCCTGTAAATGGAGTACTCTGCTGCATTATTCTTCATGCCCTTTGTCGGACAGTCATCTATCCCCCATAGGCCCTCATAAATCACAGAGATAGCCTGTGACCTCCGTCCATCCTTCCTTCCTCTTGATACTGCCTTTAGAAGGTCAGATTCAGCCCACCTTCTCTCTCTGTATCAGATTGGTTTTGTCAACCTTCTTCCGTCTGATTCTCTCTTTTCATTTTCCTCTGTCTCTCATCCCCGGGTCCCCTCATGTCTGCAGATTTACTTTTTACCCAATAAGCGTTAGAATGATGAATTTCAGCTGAAGGCTCCACTAGAGGCGCTGCTATTTTTCCGTTTTCATATCCTTTCCTCGCCCCCGTTGTCACCCTGCACATTTCATCATTTCCATGACTGTTTCAGCCTAAATTCAACTCATTTCATGCCATTTGTGTGGAAGAATCACGTGTTTCTCCCTGACCAACAACGTCACCATCTACCTGTCATTTATACATCCATCTATACGTTCATAACCCTGTATTTGTTTATCATTAATGTTCTAGTACTGACCCAACCATCTGTATATTCTTCCTGCGGCAGGTTGTTATGCAGCAACAGTCTAAGAAAGCTGAGTGCAGGACATAACCAGTTGCAGAAGCTGCCTGAAAGAGTGGAGCGCCCTCTGCTGGAGGTTTTGGACGTACAGCACAATCAACTGGTGGAGCTGCCCTGCAACCTGTTCCTCAAATCTGACAGGTAGCATTAATCATCCGCTGAAGTGATTTGTTTTGATCAACTAATGCACCTGACACAATAAGATTAAGTGTAGCAAGAGATTAAGATGAAGGACAGAAATTATGAATAGGATTTTAATCAAGGGCTAGATAGATATCCAAGGGCAACGATGACAGGCCTATAAAAAACAACCGAGCAAGGCAAGGATGGAAGAGGGGGAAGTTTTAATGGGAGGTCATAGAAGTAGGATTCCATGTAGAAGTTTGAAATTCAACTTTTTTACTCTACTCTTATTATTACTTTCAGTTTACGGTGTGTAAATGCGTCAGCCAATAAGCTAGAGCACCTGCCACCATCCAGCCTATCAGAGGAAAGCAACAGCATCCTGCAAGAACTGTACCTGACCAATAACCGGCTGACAGATAAGTGTGTACCCCAGCTAACCGGCCATACACACCTTCGTGTTCTGCACATGGCCTACAACCATCTTCAGACCTTTCCAGCCAGGTAAAGAACTTACATTATCCTTCGTTTACTTTTCTCTTCATTTCTGAAACTGTATTTTTTATTAGGGCTAGAACTAACAATATGTACTAAACAATTAACGTAATGTGACATTGTCTTTTAAATTACATCATACTGTACATACTCTTCCTTTGACATTGCTGTGGCTATTTGCCAACATATACACAATATATATTAGCGATTGAAAGCTGGCCGATACATATCTCTATCTTTACACTTACTTTGAAATATACTGTATGAATATCTCATATTCTATTTTAAAAGGAATACTAGTAATTGAACAATTATTATTATTACCACAGAAAACCAAAAAGGGAAGATAATAATTTACAAGGATATAAAGAATGAGTTCGGCAGTAAATCTGCACATGAAAAAATGACCCATTAGCTAATGGATTTATCATCATTTTAAATACTGAACTCACCCAATGCTTCCCCCTCGTTCGTCAGTAAAATGGCCAAGTTGGAGGAGCTGGAGGAGCTGGACCTGAGCGGGAACATGCTGAAGACTGTGCCCACAACCATCATGAATTGCCGGCGAATGCACACACTCATCGCCCACTCCAACGCCATCGAGGTGTTCCCTGAGGTCATGCAGCTGATGGAGATGAAAGTAAGAGTAGTAATGCATCATCAAATCTCTGTGCATCTTAATGTACAGTAGGCGTACGAGACCCCCAGTTTGAACTGTGTGCTCATGTGTGTGAGTGTTCACATATTTTTCTCTGTTGCCAGTGTGTGGATCTGAGCTGTAATGAGCTCAATGAGATCACACTACCAGAGAATCTGCCTCCAAAGCTTCAGGAGCTGGACCTGACTGGAAACCCCCGTCTCAACCTGGACCACAAGACCCTCGAGCAGCTCAAGTATGTCATTGTTTGTCTCTGTAGGTCTTTTGTTACTGTAGTAATGTGACTATAACCTACATTTTGCACTGAAGTATTGCATTTTTTAATCACGTGTAGTATTGGCTCTGTTTACATTTAGGTTTAAAGGTTAAAAGGCTTCATTGCCATATACAAAGATACAGTGTAGTTATAGCAATAAGTTGTTAAGTCCCTGGGTCCTCCAACAATGCAACATAAACATCTATAAGACAAAAAACTATTTAAAAAAATAAGAAAACTATAAGAATAGGTCAAGAAGTAATGTAAGAGATGGTGAGCTAAAAATAGAAGGTAAAATTAAATGTTGTACGGTGAAATAAAATACTGCTTATTGTAATAATCGATAAATATGTGAGATTTATATATTTTTGTTACTTGCAGTTTTTTGTTCTTTTAACATATTTATTGCTGTTTTTATGGTCCAGTCTCCCAAATAACTTTTATTTGTACATATACTTATCCAACCTTTAATGGTATAAACCATTGTATAAAAGTACCCGGAGTAAAATACTGCGAGTGGCTCCTGTGTCTTTACAGTGAATGTCATCTATTGTATGTTTTGTTGTTTTTCAGTAATATCCGCTGCTTCCGTATTGATCCGCCTCCAACCTTCTCGTCGAATGAGGCATCTGGTGGGCCTGCTGTGTGGAGTCATGGTTACACAGAGGCCTCGGGCGTTAAGAATAAGTGAGTCAAATTCAGTCAATGACAAGAAAAACAACCACCTTCACACTAATCCAGTGAAGCAACACTAACCCAAACCTCTCCAGGACGTGCATTGTTAAAGCCAGAGGACTAAAACGAGGGAAATATTGAAACAGTGCCTTCTGGAAAAACGAATGCATACTTCCGTGCCAGAATTCTTTGTATGGGCTAAAATGTCAATTCAACACTTTTAACGTGCTTTCTAAAGGAGTGATTCGAGCAATTGTATCCTAATGTTTCCACTTAAGTGTTCAATCCCATCTGCTTTGATGATGGAAGTTCTGCTGTGCAGTCCAATGACCATAGTTTTCCCCCATGATTATTAGTAAGTGAGGTACTAGATCAATGTTGGAGAACAGTTGATTTTTGAATCCCTCATTGTTTCCTCACTGAGCACATGCCTCAATAACGCCATGGCCTTCTTTTGTTTTCTTTTCAGACTGTGCGTTGCGGCTCTTTCAGTGAACAGTTTCTGCGGGAGTCGTGAGGCTCTGTATGGTGTGTTCGATGGTGATAGGAATGTGGAGGTGCCCTACTTGTTGCAGTGCACAATGAATGACGTGTTGGCGGAAGAAATACACAAGACCAAGAGCGAAGAGGACTACATGACCAACACCTTCCTTGTTATGCAGAGGTACAGTACATGGCACTTTTATCAATTCATACTTTTCATACTTCTTGCACAAATTACATTTGAAACAAATTGAGACTAGAACTTTCAAATATTGACTCTGTCCACTCGTTCTTTGCCACCATAGAAAACTGGGAACTGCGGGGCAGAAACTGGGTGGCTCAGCGGCTCTGTGTCACATCCGCCATGACCCCACTGACCCCGGGGGCTGCTTCACCCTCACAGCTGCTAATGTGGGCAAGTGCCAGGCCATCCTGTGCCGTGATGGAAAGCCATTATCGCTGTCTCTGCTCCAAAATATTGGGCTTGAGGAAGAATACCGCAGGATCAGGCAGCACAGGGCTATCATCACTGAGGTAGACATCCTTGAAATCCCTAGTATATTGAAATCAATGTAAAGTACATTCATGTAATTTAAAATACAAGCTGCATAAACTCAATATTGATGTTTATACTCTATTCTACAGGACAACAAGGTGAATGGTGTGACCGACTCCACGCGAATCATGGGTTATTCCTTCCTCTATCCATCGGTTATACCCTGTCCCTACGTACAGACAGTCACTCTCACCCCCCAGGATGAGTTTTTCATTCTGGGTAGCCGGGGCTTGTGGGATGCTGTGTCTCCCACCGAGGCAGTGGAAGCTGTTCGAAACGTCCCTGACGGCCTGGCTGCTGCGAAGAAGCTGTGCACGCTGGCGCAGGGATACGGCTGCACCGACAGCCTCAGCGCAGTTGTGGTCCAGCTCAGTGTGAGTGAGGACTGCTGCTCCTGCTGCTGTTCAGAGCCTCCCCAGCCCCCTCCCAGCCCCGGCCTGGGCCCCTACCCCCCGTCGTCTTCTGCCACCAAGGAGCGGCCCTCAGACGGCTCCCTGCCAGTCCCTTCCTCCTGCAGTGAAATCAGTAGTGAGATCAGCACCAGCGAGATGAGCAGCGAGGTGGGCTCCACGGCCTCATCAGATGAACCACCGCAGAGCTCCTTGGTGCTGCTGCACGAGCAGCCCCACCATCCAAACCTCCCCCTGCACCATCAGGCCCACTCGCTGTCCCTGCAGCACCAACAGGCCCACACAAGCACCCAGCACTGCCAGTACCTGTTCCCGGGTTCAGAGCTGCCGTCTTCCCGCAGCTGCTGTGCCCTCCATCCTGCATGTTTAGCAGGGTCCTTCCAGAGGCAGCTGTCCAGCGCCACCTTCTCCAGCGCCCTGTCTGACAACGGGCTGGACAGCGAGGACGAGGAGCCCATCGCCGGTGTGTTCTCTAACGGGAGCCGTGTGGAAGTAGAGGCGGATATCCACAGCCTCAAAGCAGAGTCCGCCTCCTCCTCATCACCGCAAACATCATTACCTTCATCCTCCAGCCAAGAGGGCACCATGCTGACTCACCCCCCACCCCCTCCACCGCCGTGCACCCCAGAGCCCCTGGAGGAAGCGGTCGACATGGGCCTCGGGGAGGCTGAGAATGGGTTAGAGAGAGATGAGTCATGGCAGGGAGTGGGAGCAGGAGGCGGGGACGGAGGGAAGTCTGCAGGCAAGAGGAGGCCAAATGGGTCGGTGGCACGTCAGGAAAGAAGTCACAACCTGATTGAGGTGGCCGCTGATGCTCCCTCTAAGAAGTCGGGGGGTTACTTCACAGCTCCAGCCCAGCCCGACCCAGATGACCAGTTCATCATCCCGCCGGAGCTGGAGGAGGAGGTGAAGGAGATCATGAAGCAGCATCAGCAGAAACAGCAGAAACCGCCTGGGACCGATCAGCCCACAGACTACTACGACACCCCTCTCTGAACAACAACAACACGACTACAGCCTCATCTCACTCCCAGCTGCAGCATGCATAGAAGCTTACTGTACCATTGACCTAACCAGTCTGATGTACCGAACATGGACACAAACAAATGAGTTTCCTCAAGAGGCTCTAAAATGCACAGTTGGAACATTCTTCTTTTTTTTATAGCCTTCTTTTCTTTAAACAGCCACATCATTGGAGATCCATGCACTGTAACCTGACCCTCCCACTTCTACCCAAACAACTCGTAGAGTTTAAAAAGCAAATGATCCCTTTAATGACACTCAACTCTTTTGGAAAGGCTGTGGACACAGCTTTTGATGTTCATAGTTGTGCCCTTCTCAAAGACTGTGTAACGTTGTGTTTACATTAGACGACCAGCTGAGTATGTTTGCAACACTAGTCTTTTTGCAATAGCATTAGCTCGCCACAACACTTGTTTATATGGATAACAGTTCCATGGTTTGTTTGTTTTGTAAGAACTTACCATATCTTTTAATGTGAAAGCAGTGAAGTTGCTGAAAGAACTTTTTAAAACAGAGACGCATAATCTTTTTATTATCAGTGAACTTTGTTGAATGGTACACCAGTAATACCACACTTAACTGTTGTAGATAGGGCACTTAAAATACTGTATTTCTTCAGTAAATCATGGCTCTTGGCCTGTAAAATGGCATAGAAATTTTTTGTAGAAATGTGAAATACTAACTCCTAGGAGTTGCATACTCTTTATGGTGACTCAGTCACTTTTACTAATCTTCTCTGAGAGAAACGGTGATTTTTTTCCAATGATTGTAAATAAGAGAAATGTTGTATACTGATGCTTTTAAAAGGAACTACGTACCTGTGTGTCGGTGAAGGTTTTAGTGGTGAGGAGGACGTGAGGTTCACCAAGAATTTGCTAATTTGCTGTTATGGAGATGTCACCCCCTCTTTTTATCTCACAGCGTAGACCCACAAATACAATACACACACATACACATGTTAATGTGCAATTGCAGGTCAGAAAAACCCAACATTCCATGCAATATAACTACACAAAGTTGCCATGGTTTGCTCCACTTTGTTTGATTGTGATGTCCTGTAGTCGTCACTGTATCTAATGAACACTAATAGACAGATTGTTGCATGCACACTTGCATGCACGCACATACACACACAAAAACACACAAACACAGACTCTCACACACAATATTAGTCCCAGCTCCCTCCTACAGTAACTGTTATCACCGGCATGACTGTGTCAAGTTCAGTAATACAAACAAATATATCCACATGGAAAAGAGACAACACAGATGTTCCTGTCTTTGGTATAATAAATTTTAAATTTGTGAATATAAGAAATGCTGTCTTGGATGTGTCTTAATGATGAGTTTGTGTTAAATGTGAAAAGATTCATATTAGACTTTGGAATTTCAAAATACTTTATTTGAAATGAGGATCTTGGTTCGCTTGAGTGTTTTTACATTGAATGACCACAAGAGGGCAATCTCACATAGTGGTATGATCATCTACTCTACAGTATGGAATTGCTTTACCTTTAAGCACTGCAGACAGTTAAAAGTCTCTCATCTAGAAATGCAAAGCAGTTTTTTTTTCTCTTACATTGTTGTGGTTTGCTTTAGTTCAAAAAGTTATCAATGGAAAGTTGAGGGACTTGCACTACAGTTTTTAATTGGCGCCCATGTTTTCCATGACAACACTGTTGCCATTACTGCGTTTCTTATACTTCTTCTTCAAACAGATGACACTGACTGCTGTTACCACTAGCATTACTCCCAGTACAGACAGAGAAGAGGCAAGTGCAAGGGTGGTTTTATCTGAGGTTGAGCCCTTGTGCTGACAGCTGTTCCCGTAGTACCACCAGTCATCGCCCACCACACACCTGGAGATCAGAAAGGAGAGGATGAGAGACAAAAATTGACCCAAAGGTTTTCCCAGCATTTAGAGAAGGTGATGGAAAATGTGTGGAAGAACTTACAGTAAACTAATGAAACAAGTTGAAAATGAATCAAAAAGGAAAGATGTTCTGCTATATTTTTCTAGCTTCATTTATATGAAGTGCTGCTCGGGGAGATTGACCATCAAATATTGGTTATACCAGTTCTAATTAAATGTTCCTAAAACATTTTATATAAAAAGGGACGGTGTGTAGGGCTTGGGGGCATCAATAGTTCTGTTTTTGTCGTGGTGTATCCTGAGATTTTGAAGGGGATCATTTTAAGGTTAATGAAAACACACAATGATAAAAACTGAGAGTACACACAGAGCACTGAAAAGAGTCTACTAAATATTCCACTATTAGAAATGTTTTGCAATTAGCTTTGTTGCTTTCTAGGAGAGAATTATAAGATAAAACAATAAGACACCTTTTTATTGAATTTTAGACCCTTTCTGTTATATATTTGTATTTAAATGTAATACATTAAAATATATTTATTTATTGATTTTATAAGCTTATTATTTTCTCCATTAAATGTTTTTGTGCAGCAATACCTTAAGATCTATAAAAATGCTGATTTTTTTCATACAAATATAGCCTACTTACAAAATGGACTAAAATTGATTAAAAACGTGTCTGTCTTACGTGTTGAGTGTTGCATTGATTTGTATTCATTGGTTTGCATAACATGGAAGCTATTAAATACTTTTTTTAAATTATAATACCACAAAGCCATGAAGAAGCCCTTGAGAATGTGGATTGCTCGATAACAATCTAACACTATCCTTGAGGCTTGCTGCCTTTTGCATTAACAGCATAGTGATTGCAGGGTCAGTCAGAGCGCTCACCTGCAGGCAGCCTTCCCTTCAGCCACCACGCAGACACCCTCATTCAGACACTGCACATTGAGGCAGACACCAGGGGGTGCTGTGGTGTTAGGTTGCTGGGTCGTGGTCGCAGGTTTCTGGGTCGTGGGAGGTATAGGCTGGCTCAACGTCAAATGAGACACATCTGAAGAAGAAAGCAAATGAAAGAGCAGTTATTGCATTGACTGTAGTGTTTTCTGACAAGTTTGTGAATAAATCATGGGTGTAATCATGCCCCACAGGTGTTAATGATCACACAAATATGCAATTTTGTGCAGTAGCCCCTGATGATTATTTAGCATATTAATTAATACATATTTTATATGACAGGATGGGTGTGTTCCTTTGAATATAAACAGCAATACAGTCCTCATAGCTTCAAAGGGGCAAATACAAATGAAATGTATTGAGTTTATAGTGCAATACGGTGCTTTTACCCTCCATGGTAAGGAGAAAGATGGCATCTCCCCCCTTGATAAAGTCCCTGCTCTTTGCTCTGAGGTGGGTGAGATACACTACAGTGCCGGCCCCTGGCCCTCGGAAATACTTGGACCCATCTGTTTGTGTGACCTCAACGCCCACCTTGCGAGGGTCGTCCCAGAAAAACGTGTCGGAGCCTGTTTAAAGGAATATTGAAAGGTTTTACAATATAGTATTTTCATGATTTTGTTTCATGTAAACAATCATCAAGGTGAATCTTTTTGACACTTGATGTTGCTGCACCTGTTGGCTTCATGTTGGGGTCAGTGGTGACACTGCGCTGGTTGGACATGCGCTTTTGGATGTGTGCGTGTTGGTCCATCAGCATCATGGTAATCTGTTTCCAGGGGCATGGCCATTTCTGTCCAACATCGCCTTCACGGGCCACTAAATGAGCATAGGCCGACAGCTCCCCAGGGTAGTCTGTCTTACCGCTGGGGTACAGCTCCATTTGGAAGGTGTAACCTTCCTTAGAGGTGAATGGTGGGCTGAAGATAGCTGTGTTTGCCGGGGTGTTGTCCATAACGTTAGCGAAGTCTTTCACCCGCCATATAAACTCTGGGCAGGTGGTTTCAGAGAGGTTGATGTCATCCAGTGACAGTCCTCCTGCTAAGGGCCCAGAACCCTCTTTGGTCCCTTGAAAGACAACACGGAATTTCTTTTTGACGTCTAGACTCACATGGTGCAGTTGCCACTGCTCCTGAGGGGACCCTGTTGAGGTAAAAAATGGATTTGATTGAACAGCCATTTTTTGATAGCCACACTTCACAAGCAAAATTGCAACACTTTGAGCTGTAGTGAAATGTAAAATGTACCATCTATGGTCTGTATAAGGCGCAGTTTTCCGTTGGGGTTAGTTGTGTCATATTCTCTGACATGGATCTTCAGTGAGTCGCTGGGGCCGGCGCTGTTGTAGTAGAAGAACTGCAGACATTGGTATCCTCTTTTGGGGTAAAGGATCCTGCCCTCGAGTAGAGCCGTATCCCCATTACTGGCTGTACTAGTGTTGAAGTGCATGAAATACCCCGAGCCTAAAGATGCAAATTTCACTTCATTAAAAAGGTCAGTACCTAAGCATTAGGTCTACATTTTATTTGTAATGCTTTTTGCAAAGAAGGTGATAAGAAGAAGGTTACAAGCCAATGTATCATATAGAAATGATTATATAATGTATTAACCGTTATCAAGTCTATCTCAAAGACCGTTCCCTTCCTAATGCATATTTAATATAGGAGATTTGGAACAAAACATTTTTCAATTGCATTTTAGAGTTCAGTGGTGAAGATGCTCCATCCATTCAACTCAAATAAATCAAGTGGGTATCTTTTAAAATGTGGGTGTTGACATTCCCTCTATTTTTTCTAGTTGCTTTGTAGTGGAGGCATTTTATCACAGCATGAGAATGTCATACTAAGATGACAGTATCAAGAAGGTACCCACTTGATTTGGCTGCTGAAGCGAGACTCTAGCTTTGGTTGAGCTTTGGAAAAACCTTTTACAGACAAGGGCTGTTTTTTCAGACATGCAGTATAGGTATGAGCGTACGTTTTGGAGACAGACTTGAAACAAATGAAAAAGTAAACCTTTGATGCAGAGCTGTGCAACTGACTACACCATGTCCGTGCACGATAATTCTCACCGGTGCATTTGCCCATGTTGGAGTAGTCAGTGTTGGGTCCTCCCTCAGCTTTGGCAATCCTAACCCAGTCTGCTGTTTTCCCTTCTCCCTGGATCATACCGCAGATGTTCTCACGTTCAAAGTCACATGAGTCCAGAAAAGTGGACCCTTCGGCTATAAGAAATTGCATAAACATACACAGGTTTAGAACTTTGAACTGCTATAAACTGATCAACTATTCAGGACAATCATTAAAATGACATAAGAGAATACGGTGTAAGAAGAATGGTGGTATGAACTGACACAACACTTCTCCTCAAGATAATACAATTTCACTTTTGTTGTTGCCTCTTACTGCAGTTATAGAGGCGGTGCAGCTTGAGCAGGTCGCTGTCACTGAACTCCATACGCTGGCCAATGACATCACTGAAAGCGGGGATCTTGGTGATGATGGTGGGCTCAGTGCCGTTACGGAAAGCGGTTTTACTGTAATGCATCATGGAGCCGTAGTCATAGGGCACGCCCAAAGAGCTGGAGGTGGTGTCGTCGTAGGTGTTAAAGTTGTGTTCCTTTCCTGTGGATCAGGCATAAAGAGAGGTGTCAGTGCAGTTCATTATCACAATGTGGGGGTGGATTAGAGATGTTATTTAGGATCACTAATCAAAGACTGAACCTCTTTAAAGAACTGATAAAACATTGCTTATTCATCAAGCTACAATTTGCTTTAATGACAGATCGTAGGAGGAGCGTAGGTCAATGCAACCAAGATACAAGATGTGATGTTATGTCCTGATAATGCTTATCTAGCTAAGATTATTCAACAAGTAAACAACACATGCATCAATCAAGCAATACATCAACTGCTGGATGAAGTCCTATGTAACAAACTTCTTGCATGATGTGTGCTTTTTTTTTACTGATTTGTTAGAGTACGCATTCAAAGAATCATCAAATCCTTTATTCTGCTTTAGTTGTCAAAGTAGTGGCAGGTTCATTACCCTCTAAGATGCGGTCCCACATGATGTTAACATAATCATCACGGTCTGCCCTCGACTGCTCATGCCAGAAACCCAGAGCATGAAGGAACTCGTGTTCAATGGTGGCAATGCGGTCACAGTTACTCCCTATTGACAATCTCTGCTTCCCAACTCGCCGGTTTCCAACAGAGGAGAAACAGCTTTTGGATAAAATACATTCAAGGCTTTAATGAACATCACACTGAGAACTTTAGTTTGAATCATAGAA